AATCGAAATTCTTTTTTTCCATGGAATGGGAGGAAAGGAAAGATTCTGATTAGTTGATTCCATTATGCACTATGCGTTATGCGTTATGCAAGAGTCTGTGTATGGGCCTTAATACACAAATAAAATATTAAAAACACATGATTTCTTCCCTTATTTCATTGTATCCTTTTTAAACTGTGTGTATTCCCGCTGTGTGGTGATTGGTCCCACCATTTTTAGGGGGTCTGACTTCTGATCCAATAAAAAGAGTTCTATGGGTAGCCAGACTCTGTATTCTAGGGACACTAAGTACTACAACCGCTTACTGAGCACTCAGTGAGCTCTTATATCTAATTGGAATATATTTTTAGATCTAATGGAATATGCCAATCAAATGCAAGAGCTCACTGAGCGCTCAATGAGCGGTTGTGGTACTGAATGCACTCATTTTATCCTTGTTGGTCACCGAATGTTGAATAAAGATAAAAGATACTCGGAGTTGACAGAGTCAAGTTTTGGAGCGCATCCCTGTCAGTGCGAAGTACCGTGTTCGAAAAAAAATGATGGCTAAAAGAAATGACTATCGAAATGAAGAAACATTTTGGGATGCTCTTCTTGCCATCTTTCATGCATCATTCTCCATATATTTTCTAGACGAAAATAGTTTGATTCCTAGAAAAAAAAGGTATGTCAACAAATTTTTCAATATCTCTTTTCTTTTTCAACATTTTAATAATATATACTAGCGAGTTGACAAAGTTCTTGGAAGTAATTTGTTGCATAGAAATAAGTATATAACCTCATGAGGTTATGTACTTATTCCTGTATAATTATTAGACTGCGGAACTTTATGCAAAATACTTAATTGAATATTAACTATCGGACAATTTTAGCAGTCAATCGTTGTTCATTAAAGAGTTATTAAAAGGTGAAGTAAAAAGATTGAGATTGCCATCTGTAAATTTACAAAATTGCAAAATATGCATTTTATGCAAAACATTCGGTTAAGTATTTTGCATAAAGTTCCGCAGTCTAATAATTATACATGTAAACACGTATAATTATATGTTTATATAATAATTCGCGCGCGCGCGCGCACACACGCACGCGCACACACACACACGCACACACATGTGCCCACGCACACAACACGCACACACACGCGCACACGCACACTATCAATACTGGCTAATGTTTAACGATCTATTTGTAGTGCAATTGTGTGAAGCCGGAACTTGGCAGTGTGTTGAGATTGACAGTAGCGCTGGCAATTAATACAGTTACGTAGCAAGAAGATATTATGACTGTAAGAAATTGTTTTCGCCTGCGGTTGCATCTGGCCTGAACTGGACAGGGACTGAATTAAAAAAAGGAATCAAGTCCATGAAGTGTGGCGCATGCATCGTTGGTAAGTTACAATAGGATCCAGAAGTGTTTTTAAAGATTAACAAATATTAATGATGACTCTCAAAATTAAGAATACAATAATTTTGAGAAAAGAGAGCTGATAAGAGTCAGATGTGGATCTAAGTGTGCACTAAAACGCCCATGTACTCTAACAATAAGTTAGAATAAATTGAGATTACATAATTATATATTGCACACTTATATCCACGTCAGATTCTCACCTCTTGGTATTTAGTTTTTATTATACTTAATATAAATAGCCTAATTCTTATTTTCCAGATGCATGTGCCCACCAGTACAAAGGCAATTTTAGGAAAGCAACAGTATCGGGAGCTATTAGTACATGGCTTCGCAGCCATTCAAAAAAGAGGGCTGCAGACAACAGAATACCAACGTGATCGACAACTGCGGCGACGATTTCGAGAGCAGCAAGAGCTCTAGATATACCAAAGTAGCGCACAAGTCCTCCATTTTTTACTTACTAACCATAAGTACCCTATACCAATAATACTAAGTGCTTATTGGACTACATACAACTAGATCGAAATGGCGGTCGAAAGAGTCAATAGGAAGGTTGTCGGCATTTTGGATCAGATGAAAGAAATGCGCTTCTTTGGTATATCTAGGCCGGTATTCATAGTCGGATCTTATATTTAAGACCGTCTTAAGTACAG